GGATACAAATTGGAAAGAAAGAAGTCAAACTTTCACTATTTGAAGATGACATGATAGTCTCCATTAGTGACCTGAAAAACTCAACTGGGGAACTCCTACGGCTGATAACCACCTTCAGCAAGGTAGCAGGATACAAAATTAACTCAAAAAAATCAGTAGCCCTACTATATACAGATGATAAATCCAATGAGAAAGAAACCAGGGAAACATCACCTTTCACAATATCCACAAGCAACATAAAATATCTTGGGGTAACACTAACCAAAAAAGTGAAAGACCTGTACAATAAGAACTTTGAGACTTTAAAGAAAGAAATTAAATAAGATACCAGAAAATAGAAAGATCTTCCATGCTCTTGGATAGGTAGAATTAACATAGTAAAAATGGCAATCCTGCCAAAAGCAATCTACAGATTCAACGCACTCCCCATCAAAATCCCAACACAGTTTTTCACAGACATTGAAAGAACAATGCTCACACAGTCTATTAACACCTATATTAGTTGTTATAAATGAACTCATGGTGAATGTCATGTCAAGAAAGTTACTCCTGCACCCCATAATCACAATGTAAGCTACAAACACAAACAAAAGGTTTGAGATGAGTCAGGAATATGAGTCAGTTGAGCTAAGGAGAAATTTCCCAGAAGGGCAGGAGGAAGATGGTAAAAAATGGGCAATAGGATATGTGATTATAAGAACTGTCATGCTGGTTCAAGAGAGACCCTGCATATGCTCCCTGACAGGTTTAAAAGATCCCATTGATTCACAGCCTCTCCAATAGCTGCTGTGCCCAGACTTGCCAACTTCTGTCTCCTACCAAGCAAGTTACCCAGCAAGCACCTCATAAACAAGAATGTGATCTGATCTTGTTCCCTTAAGCCTTAGAAGAGGGTTCAGTAAATAATTGGTGACAAAAGCTAACAGAAGAGCCTAGACAGGAGACAAAATACCATGTTAAGGTTTTCACTTTAAATTTCAAGTCTCCTATTCCCCAGGACATCTTTCCATCCTTCTAATCAGCCTGCCTCATTTTGCCATATTCTCTTTTAATAAGAACACATGTTTGAACAGTCTTTTAATATTAATATAGTATAACATAATAAATAATGTAATAATATAGTAATATAGTAATGATATAGTAATATCTATTACTATAAATACTTGTAAAGAGTTAACTCATAATGAAAATCAATGTGTGGAAATAAACCATATACTTGTTGATTGCCCTAATTACAAAATTTACTTTACAAACTTAAGAAGAAATAATGGGCACGAAGAAGATATTGGAAGATAACAACTAATGGGCTTAGCCATTTGAAGTTCTATTAGTCCATTATTAGATTGCAACTGAAACTCAGCAGAGCATTTACAGAGCAAGGTAAGGGATAATATTAAGCCTGTCCTTGTCACATGCTTAACAAAGAATTAACTAACCTTGCAAGCCACACAGTATTCTTGCTACTGACATCAAGCAATACACAAAGAAATAACTAATGGAGAATTATATCATGTGACAAACCTTCAGTTCTTGTCAACAATAACAAAGCTTAGCATTAAAATATAAATGGAATGGGTAACAGAAGTGGGAATCCTTCTCTTTAGAAAGCACTAAAAAGCTTTTTATACAATATGTTAAGTTCTACCCTGCACAGGCTTCCTTCCATACTTGAAGTAAATGTATACACAGGGATTCAATTCACACGTGTGGCACAACTAAGAAGCATTAGAAGAGGCCTGTAAAGACTCAGGGGCACTCCTGTTTTCTTATCAATTAGCAGCACTAAGGAAAAATCAATTATAATTGCAGAGTATGCACTAAATGAATTACCAAAGTCGCAGTATATTATGGACAATATTGTTAAGTACAGAAGTTTTACATTATAATTGACATATAATATAACATATATAATATATATCAACCAATTAAATTGTCTTATTTTTCTTAACCTCGTTATTTGTAATTGAATTTACTTGCAGCAAGAGTTTTAGAGGGTTAAAGTATTATTCTGAGATACACCTTGTAAAGAGTTTCTGTGACTTCACACATAAATATAGTGAGTGTATACTGGTTTTTTACCGAGAAAAGCAACATTATATAAATCCAAAGTTCCTTCTATAAACTTTGGTAAACACAAGATATTAAAGTTCCCTTATCAAGCATTTTAAGTATACAGTAAAATAATGTTAGCTACTATATGCACATTACCGAAAAGTTCAATTAAAATAGCTATTATGGAAAAATAGTGTGAAGGAGCCCCCCCAAAATAAGAACAGAACTATCATACAATCCAGCAATTCCCATTGCTGGGTATACACTAGAAGAAAAGAGGAAACAACTGGAGTGCCCTTCAGTCGATGACTGTATGAAAGGATGTGATACAAGTACAGAATGGAATACTACTAAATGCTGTCACGTGGGACAACGGACTGCATGAGCTCATTCTTGCGGAACCTAAACGTTCATCTCATACAGCCTAAGAGTGGAATGTTGGTCACCAGAGGACAGGATGAATAGGGAAAGGAAAGATGGGCAAAAACTAGGCTATGAGTAACCACTTGAGGTGAGGTAGGAAAATGAACTGGTGTGCAGTCCTGCAGTAGGAGGGAATCAGACAATAACGTGTATTTCAAAAAAGATTACAAGGTTTTGCCAAAAAATGATACATGTCTAAGATAGTTAATATGGTAAGATTCTTATATGTATGAAAACATCATGTTACCTCTTAATATGTACAATGTTTGTTCTTTATGTAGTTTCAATAGTAATTTAATGAACCACAGTACTAATAGCATCTTAGCTTTTCATAATTTTATAAACAGTTTTTTTTAACTCTGTCATGTACACAGATCTCTAGAAATCATTAACTGTAAAGCAAACTTTTTAACTACTAAGCAATTGTCCTTTTAACCCTGGGAGAAAAGTGCCTGTTTCAAAGTACTTAGGGCTTACCAGATTTTTTGTGAAAGCATCATGAATTTTTCTTTGCTCCAATATAATTGACAAGTGAACAATGCAACAGATTTTATTCTGCTCACCATCAAATTGTCTTCTGAGAAACAAAGCCATATATTTTATTCTTAATGTCTTTCAGGTTTCTATAAATCACATCTGTTCAGGGACTTGGTAATTCTCAAAAGATAATGAAGGAGTAATTAGTGTAAATGAGTAAGAAAGACCACAGGTCAGTAATTTGTTTTTCTTGTGGAGAACTACAGAGAAAATACGCAGGTGTGCAGGCCAGGAGTTATGCTGCAACACTTCCTCTCCGGGATGGCAACAGAGGCAGAATAAGGCTACATATGGACAAACGAGCAAGGCTGTGGTCAACAAAGTGTGTTTATGAAAACAGATGGCAGGCTTGATGTCCCCAGGGGACCATGGCTTGCCAACCACTGAGATAGATCCAAAAAAGGAGAAGGAGGAGGAAAAAAGATGGGCAGGACCAGAGAAGAAAGTAAAGAAAATCAAATTAATGTGTCTGTGAGCTATTACTCCTGAGAACAGGGAGCGCCTTGGCTGACATTATCTTTTCTATTGACTAACTTTCACTGTGAACCCTTACAAAATGAAACAAGTTTTTTTTTTTTTTTTTTTCCTAATGATTTGACTTCGTGCTGGCTGAACTATTGGCACTCAGCACATCAGCATAAATAATGAGAATATTGATCATGGGTAAGTACATCATAGGGGATGACTTACCTCAGTAATGGATGGAATATAACAGTAATATTTCTGGCTCCAGGTTTGCAGACAAATTTTGTTCCTCCACCTTCAATTAAGTTGTCATCAGGACCCCCTTCCATGAAAAATGAAAACTGAGAGTTAGCTAGTTGCAAGTTTTACAGATAGGAAAAGCTTATCTGTATGAGTGTTGTATTGTCACAGAGGCTACCATTTATGGTACCCAACAGTATTCATAGTTATTGCAAATGATATGATCCAATCTTTCTGTTCAAAAATCTATGGCATAATTACTCAGCAAAGGGAAAAATGAAAGACCAAGCAGAATCAATGACGTGTGTAAAGTAATGGCTCAAGGTTACAGTATAGTTGAGGCTAAAACATTTACAGTGTCTTATTTGGACAGTAGGGCACACAGAGAAAGAAACTACATTTAAATCGTCCCAGATTGTAAAATGTATATAAATCCTATTCACCATATTGTCACCAAGACAAAACCACACAGAAAGACTCACTGAAATTTTATGTAACACTAGGAGAAAGAATCCTAGTTATTAATATATGTAATTTATTAAGATCTGTATTTTAGCCGGACGTGGTGGTGCACACCTTTGATCCCAGCACTAGAGAGGCAGAAGCAGAGGCAGGCAGGATCTCTGTGACTTCGAGACCAGCCTGGTCTACAAGAGCTAGTTCTGGGACAGACTCCAAAGCCACAGAGAAATCCTGTCTCAAAAAAAACAAAAAAACAACCAACCAACCAAACAAACAAACAGAAAAAAAAAAACTTTATTTTAATATAGTAGAAAGCTTACTTGGCTATTTAAACATATATTTCCATAAATATCTTGAGTATATTTAATAAGTAAATATAAGAAAAATAAACTTGGGGGGAAAGCAGGGCTCAGTGGTTAAAAGCACTGGGTGCTCCTTCTAGAGGACCTGGATTCAATCCCTAGCACCAACATGGGAGCTCAAAACCATTTGCAACTCCAATTCCAGAGGATCCAATGTTCTTGTCCGGCCATCTAGGGCATCATTCACACAAGGAGCCCACAGAAATATGTGCAGGTAACACTCATACACACAAATTTAAAAAAAAAATAGAAAAGAAACTCATCAAAACATTCTTAAGACTATCCAGTATACACACCCCAGCCCTCGAGATAACTGATTCAGAGCTGGAAGCATCCATGTTTTCAGTAAGTGCCATCTTATATTATCAAGAATGCAATTGTCTTAAAAGGGCGTGCCACATTGCATGTAGGATTTTATTTCATGCTGCTGATACATATATGCAAAATATAAAATTGCTGCTTTCTTGATGATATAACAAGTCTTAAAGCAGATTTTGCAATGACAACCAGGACTTATATTCTTTCCTTAATCGGTTCTTAATTGGTAATTAGCTGAAACATCAACGGGTCAAAGTGCAGGAAGAAACTGCCAAGTTCACACATTCTGAGGCAGTAATAATTTACCATTACAATCTTGCAGATTTAGTTGCAGAAGAGTTTAGAACATACAAAGCTGCATATAACTTTAGAATTTGAAAGAAATGCTTTTACCACCACCTCACCACCACAGCACGATGGGTATTTTGGTGGGTTTTTGTTGTTCTTTCTTTCTTTCTTTCTTTCTTTCTTTCTTTCTTTCTTTCTTTCTTTCTTCCTTCCTCTCTTTTTCTTCCTTCCTTCTTTCCTTCTTTCTTTTTTAAATAATTCAACTGCTTTAATCCCTAGCCTTTCTCCACTTTTATCCACTCTAAGAGGATTGTATTCTTTTGACTGGCAAACATTAAGGGGGAAAAGGAGGCATGAATGGTTCTGAGAAGCTGCAGTATTCCATTTGAAAAAACATGATATCTACAGATAGTAAATGTACTTTGGTTTATGTTGGTAAGGCTATGGATATAACTCAAGCCTAGAAAAATTACAAAACACATGCAAGACATGTTTCAAAACAGGGAGGAAGGAAAATTTGCCTAAAAAGAATCTGGCTATCAAAAAAACGGGGAGGAGTAAAGTGGTCTACCACCTTCTATTAAATGGGCAAATAATTCAGCCATCGAGTTCACCCTAAGCTAGGTTATGTCCTTCAGTGTCACTATTTTTAGTGTATAACTGGCACTCTAGTTTTCATTTACTTCATATTATTTCTCAACTGTTTTAGAGTTCTGGCATACACACACACACACACACACAAAAAAAAAAAAAAAAAAAAAAAAAAAAAAAAAAAAAAAAACATGCTATTGGTGGGTTTCTTAAAAACCCTAGATTCCTACATTTACTATTTTTCTCTCTCTATTTAACATTTCCGTATGGTTAGAATACTTTGCATGGTATGAGACACAAGCAAAGCTGACTGTTTTATTATCTTTTTGGTCTCCAAGGCATCTAGGAAATTGATAAAACCATGTGAAACTTCAGCAGTCTACAGTCAGAATCATCAACACTTCCCAGAGACATTTAGACAGATGCTGTTTGGATCTGTTGTTTCCACCAAACCATCAGAGCACAGTTCCAAATTTCTAACAAAAATGCAAAGTCATGTAAAGCTCTTCCTTTAAATTAATGGCCTGTGTCCCAACACAATGACAAGAATATTACTAATGGCTTGCTAATTTTTGCACTTAAATGAAAGCATCAAGACCAACTTGAGGACTAGGGGTACAGCTCAGCTATAGAGAATATGTTCTGCATGAGCAAGGCCCTGGGTTTAATGACTATACAGTACCAAAGAAGATAAGGACATAAATAGATAGAATAGTTTGGAAAAATCTAATAGAAATACTACTACTTTAACAAACCTCTTCCTCAAAAGATTAAATTGAACATCTACAAACAGAGAAACAAAACTAAGAATAGATTTATCTTCTTCATCAACAATTTTCCTTTCAAGACCACAAAACCAAATCAGAACAGAATCACAAAGGATATATGTACAGGGGGAATATGGCTATAGTCTGCACTCCAGGAACAGCATACATAAAACAAAACAAAAAACTTTATATGAGATGTATTTTAAAAATCCCACAATTCTATTTAGTATGAGTATTAGCTCAAACTGATTATAAAATAAAATAGGCAACTTTTAAATGTTTCTAAAAATAACAAGTGCTATGATTTAAGGAGTCCATAATTAAATTTAGACTGGGATAACCAACAGGCAGTCAGCTACTTCTTTACATACACTGTGTACACAGTATGTATGCCTGGCCTGTGTGAGTGACTTGGGCACACTGAGCTCACTTCTGGATGCACATTTCCTCTACCAAACCTTTAAGTCCAATATCTAGCCTATAACATCCAACTCTGTTTCCCAAAGCCCACAATTCCATTAAAAGTAATTTTATGTAAAAACACTCAGAAATACCTTAACACATGTCACTTTTATTAACATTATATGACTTTGTTAAAGCTTTCATAACTTATCACTATGGAAATAGATAAAGCAAGCATGCATCTGCTGTATGAATGGAAAAAGAAATGGAGACCTAAGTGGACGAAATAATATTAAAATAAGATGAGGACGTGTATGTGAAAATATAGTTAACTGTTAAAGCCTAGTAAAAGCGAGTAACTTGCTTTGTCTTCCTAAAGTCTTATAGGCAGTAAGAATATTTAATGTGTTTATATAAATGGATAGAGCCAATATAAAAAAGAGACAATACCAACTATGAAGACAGAAGCCACTAGAAATGTCAGAGGGAGAGATGAGGCTGTGACAATGAAGGGAGGAAGACGGGGTATGAATTTCCAAACTTAGCCACAGGTTCACTGCTCAAAACTCTCAAGCTGGGGGAAATGATGCATTCATGTGATGTGCTGATGTTAAACAACAGTGAAAAAGACTCTGCTCCAGCTACTTTAACCCTCAGCCAAAATTCTACATATGGGAACTTTGTGTATTCTTTCAGCTCCATGCCTATGTGAACCTCACTGGATCTGATAAGCAGATGTCTAAATCTAGGGTACTAAATTCTATGGTATAAAAGTGATCCCCAAAGACCATGTGTTGGACACTTAATCTCTAATTTAGCAGTATTGGAATCTGGGAACTTTGTCATGAGGATGCCCAGGCATGGATTCCAGCACACGTCCTAGGGCAAAGATGATTACAGAAACTTGAGTCCCTTTTCTCTATTACCCTTCCTAGGTCTTCTATCATGGTATGATAAGCAAAAATAGTCACTTGTTGCCCTTAATATCACCTTCCAATCCTCAAGATCTATACACCATTTAATTTCTGTTCATTACAGACAACTCAGTATGCGATATTCTGTTGTAATAGCACAAAAATGACAAAGGTATTGAATTACCATTTTAAAAAGAAAAGAAAAGTAGCATCCTGAATAACTAATTTTGAAAATATACCTGAAGAAAGGCCCTGATCAAAGATAACAAAGTCTGAGAGTTTCTACCACCAAAATGAACTCTAAATGGACTTTTGGCATTTCAGTATTCTGGGTGAGAAACAGAACTAGCCTCTCCTCACATGCCCTTCCATTCAGCCAAGTAGCCTGGGGACTGCTGTCAAGACCATGAAGGAAAAAGCTGCTCAAATTCTGAAACATGCACTGACCAGACAGGGACAACTCTTGCCTTCATTCATTATGCTTGCAGTCTAATCTCAGCTGGGAAGGCCTGGTGATGGGCACCAGAGAAAATGGTGAATGATGATGGATGGTTGGAATGAAAAAGAAATTGACAGTAGGATTACAAGTAGGCTGCAGAGCACAAAAAGATGGAAGAATGCCCCAGTCATATTTCCTGCTTTTTACATTGAGGAGAATGATTTGACAAGCTCTCCCTAGATGACTGCCAACAAACCCAAGGCCACCTAACAACTTTGGTATGACAGCATTTTAACACTCACAGAGTAGTCCCTACCTTTAGAACTCATTTGGAGAAATTAGCTGCTAAATTTATCCACTCCTTGTCTCCTTCCAAGAAAGATTTGTTGTCATTGATAATGAATATAGTCAAAGTCATCTTAATGACTATAACAGAAAGAGAAAACAAACACCTCAGGAAAAATGCAAACAAATCTCATTGAAATGAACTTGGGAAGATGGGAAGAATCAGTGAATCTGTAATCAGATCACACATCTTA